TCATTTATTGAGGACCAGAGGCAAGCCCTGAACAGCCAACTCAGCACCACCTCCTCCAGACAGTCCATCTCTTCCTCCTCCTCCTGCTCCTCGCTCTCATCCTCAACTAGCTCGCGCCCCTCCTCCCTCATTGAGCAGGAGAAGCACAGGAGTTTGGAGAGGCAGCGGCAGGAGGTGGCCAGCCTGCAGGTTAGCTCTCACTAATGCTGTTTTCACATGTTGAGTCATGGCTGCAGTGAGCTCATCGTTCCATTGTTTGACAGGATTCATGTTTTCATCCAAGTCTACTCTTAAACCCAGCTTCCTGAGCCCAGTTCTTGTGACATCACACTGTGGTTTGTTTTAGAAACAGCAGGCTGCACATCAGGAAGAAAAGAGGAAACGAGAGAGAGAGTGGGAGCTGAAAGAGAGAGCTCTGGCAGATCGGGAGGAGAGGCTGGGGGAGGAAGAGGAGCAGACGAGGCGGAAATGTCGGGAGCTGACAGAAGAGATGCAGATGTTACAGAGGAGCAAAGAAGAGTACCAGAGAGACGTGGAGTGGCTGAGGGAGGCGCAGAGGAGGCTGGAGAGAGACGAGGAGGCTCTGAGGAGAGACAATCAGAAGGTGGACGCAAATAGAGAGCAGGTCAGAGGTCATGTATGATGAAGGCGCTGCTAGTCTGATGCACTCGAGCACTCGAGTGTCGTCACAGGCAGGCTGCTGTGTAGCTGTAGTCTCTGTGCACGTTCACCTAATCATCACAAATGAATCAATAAACTACATGTCATGCACTCTGTAGTATTTTATGCACTGGATGTAGTGAATTCTGTTTTTCCATGTCTGCTTCCTGTTGCCATGCCAAGTTTCGGAGGTGGAGAGTGGAAATTTGGCATAATGACTCTCAGAGCCATGACAGAAGCTTTAAAAATAAAATCCAGTTGGTGGAAATGGACCGATAGATATCCTTCACCGTCTCACTCACATCTTCATGCATGATCTAATCATTTTTCCAGTCGGAGGAGCTTCAGAGGTACCAGCGCATTCTCTCCACAAACTCAGACGACTCCTTAAGGTTCCACAGCACCGGGTCCCTGGATCTGGATTCAAAAGAAATAGCAGAACAAGCCAAAGAGGTAAGAACAAGGTCCTGCTTTAAAACCACGTTTGTGTTAGAGTTTAGGAAGCTGCTGCATGAGCCCTTGAATGACTAATATTGTGGGTGAACATCAGGTGGAGCTCTCATCCTCCGCCCCAACCAAAGAACCTTTCCTCCGCATTGGATCCAAGAGGATGAGCAAAAACTTCAACCCCTTCTCCTCTAAGGCTCAGGGAGCAGAGAAGGAGTCCCAGCTCCCCTCCAGACTACTTCAACTGACCAAATCCAAAGAGAAGAAGGAGAAAAAGAAGAAAGGAAAAGGAGGGAAGGACGCACAGACAGGTACAGTCAGACCGACTCAAAGTGAAGACGGTCATGGGTGGAGCGGTGTTCTGTGTACTGGTATCCTGCTACATAACTCTTGTGTTTGTCTTTAGAGAACAAATGTGCAGTGATGTTGGATTCTCCAAATGACAGTGACTTCTTCATCTGAGGAGCGAACTCCTAACACCCAGTCGCACAGCTGACAGTGTGTGTCTGCCTCTGTCTGCTTGGCCCCAGACATTGCCCCGGCCTTCCCGTCACACAGACTGTACCATCAAAGGTCAAAGGTCAGGCAGGGTAACACACTGACTTAGCTGAAGTCTTTCCCAAGGTAACAGACTGCTCTGGAGACTATCCTGCCCACGCTCCAATAATGCCAAACTGGATGGATTCAGAAGAGTTTGTCCAGCAGCAGGTCCTGGAAAAGCTTAACTTGACCAATCACAAGCAAGATTTCTTTTAAGTGTTGCTGAAGCTAACTTTGGTTGCTTGTTGTGCACTCCTTACTTGTAGAACACACACACACACACACAGCAGGTTAAACCATCATTCACTGTGAATGAAACAGACCCCTTAAATTAAAAAATCTGTGTTTATTTGATCTTGAGCTGAAGTGCCTTCCATGTGTCTGGCAGCAGGTATACGTGTAGCAGCAGTTAATCTGATTTGTAACAAAGTACTGATGAAATGTACATTATACAGAGCTGACCGTGCACTGTTTACATGTCAGTGTAGCAAGCTTCCTGCTCATTTCATTGGTCCTTCATTTCTGCCCAAGCTATCATTTCAGACCCGGCAGCGACATATTTAAAGTATGCACTGACCCGGGCTCTCCCATCACAGTCACCAAACTCTTATACGCTGATTTAAATTAAACTTAAGATTTTAATAACGAAACTGGACATTTTATTAGACAGATGGTTCACAAACCCAGCCATGAGTGAAATCAAAGGACAACTGTTATATTAGAACACTACATACCTCTGCATGTGGACAAGGGTCCACTCTAACCCCCATTTCTATTGCCTTTATTCACCCTCACAAAGCCCTGCCGGTGTGCATAACACACCCATCATACACTGGACACCCACAGGCTCGTGTGCTCCATCCACCTGTGTGGGGAATGACAGTCGAGGTCGAGACAGTGCTTTATTTACTGCTGCACTCACTTGTTATGTTTACTCTACATGAAGCTTAATATTCCTATTCTTTTTAATAAAAGCACCTGACTCATACTAAACAGCCCAAGTGCTGAAAAGTGGAACAAACACGTGAGAAGAAGACTTCTGTGATACACACCACTGGTTTGAATCTGCTTGTGTGCATTCCCCTGTGTTGACAGCTGCTTCTCGTCATGACAAAAATGGCGTGTCCTAGCTGAACTGCTCCTCTTTCAACAACAGATAACAGAGCCATTACGAGGAAGCCAGTCAAACATGCCGAAGAGAAGAGTCCATTAAATATTCATCACTTGTGCTTCTGTTTTTCTGCAGCGTTATGTTTCCAGATAACTGGATTCTCCCAGTGCATCACACAGGGAGGCTCGCTCAGGGCGTGTACATGATTATATGTAGCCTTTAGTGTCATATTTCCGAGGGTGGGGTTAATGCAGCAAAAGTGCTTTAGCGCTGCTCTAACCAGGTAGTACTCTAACCAAACAGCAGAGGTGAGAACAAAAGTTAACAAATAAAACCAACACTGAAAGACTGACACTCCTGCATTACACTTTCAAGCACGTGGTGCTCTGTGACGCTGCTGTAGTGTCTGCTCACAGATAACAGAGGACAGAGATGGCAGCACTGGATGCTCGTCAGTGACAGCACAGTGGTTTAACAGAGACGTGAGGAACTAGTCAGCAGTAAGATCAGGTATATAAACAGTACATGCTAAATTGTGTAGTATTTTTACACCAGCAGCAGTCTGACCTTTGTTTACACGGCCTCTTTGAATAGAGGCTGATGAGATTTTGATGAGAGGTTAAAGAAGCATTTCTGCTAATATCCATTTCTTTTTAGTGCAGTAATTCAAAAACTGAGGAAATGGAGTTTTAAAAAATAGTTTTGCACTTGGATGGAAGTATGTGTGGGTGTAGTATATGAGCAGCAGGTAAATGACTGAGAAGAAACCATTAAGGATGATGCATAACAAGCCCATTAATACATTAGTCATGTTTTTGTGTTGAGTGGCACAAATCATGTTAACCCTGTAAAGCCTGAACCAATCATTACTAGAAAATTACATTTATAAAACAAATGTAGTTCATTAAAACTACTGACAATTTTTCTTAAAGAACTTAAATATTATTTTGCATATATGTGGTTGTTTTTATTTAGTTTTTTTTTACTATTTATTGTTGATTTGTTGAGCAAGTTATTTGTTTTTCGGCGGGGAGAAAGTCTCAAAAACTCATCAAATATGAAACACTTGGCATTATAGGGTTAAAGACACGTTTCACCCTCACAACTAAACAGATGTTCACTGATGTATTTTAGTGGAGCAGACACTCCAGCACCACCCACCCACCCACCACACAGCAGTACAGTGCACAGTGTTATCAGTGTACACTGATCCCTCAACAAACAAGCTCAGTCACTGACACGGCCTCTGTGTTGTTCCCGTGCACTAAAAATATTTCTAAAGCCATTAAAAATGAAAGTTTCACCATCTTTTTCGCTGTGTGTGGGATCGTCTTGAAATGTTTTTGGAATAAAAACACGAGGTACAAAGTTTCTGTTTTATTTCCAAAGAAAACAGATGGAGGCAGAGCAACACATTTTGTAAATATGTACAAATTTCAAGTGAGAGAAAAGCTTTATTTGTCTACTTTCTTCCTGATCTGGAAATGTAATGTTCAATTCTAATAAATTACTATGCTATTGTCACTGTGTGTTTTTATGTACACGGATAGTATGTTAGCTGAGAGGAGACAGAGGAGTGAGAGCGATGTTGAGAAGCTCCTGGTGTGCTGCATTGGTCAATGTCCCTCCTCTCACAGGAGCATGTGGACCTGTGTTTCCACCGAACTGTGTTACTAAATAAACTGGAATCATCTGTGAACCATTTCACTGAAAATCACCAGAAGATGACTTTGAGTGAAAAAGCATTTTTATTTTGTTAGTTAACATTAGAACAGGAGCAGTTTTACCACCATGTGCAAAGTGAAGTATTCGGTCATTGCCCCCTGACCAAGTTTCACAGCGAAACATTTTACTTGTGATGATATTAAATCATGTTAGCCTCTGTGTGTCCAGGGGCCCAGATGGGTCACCAGTGCAGGGCTGCCGTAGATCTTTATTCATTGAAAGTATTCGGTCTGATTGAGGTGCCCTTCCTATTATGTGCTATACAAGGTACAGACGGGCTGAAAATCCTGAATTTGTTTTCTAGAATTTGTCTCATGAGCCCTTTTTGTCTATCAAACCCTTAGGCAACCTCCTTAGAACTAACTCCGTATTTAAGGGCTCTAATCTTGAAAGCACAGTGCGCAAAATCTGTCTTTATACAGGCAGTTAACTACAGCACATCTGCATATTTGTATTTTAGAATCTCACCAATGTGGATCAGACAATGGTGCCTCCCAGGAAGAGAGTCCAGGTTGCAATGATGGGCCTGTGGTGCAGAGTCTGCATGTTCTCTCTCATGTTCTCCTGAGACTGATAAACATCCTGGATTAATGTTGTCCACATCAGGCCGAGAAGTATCCTTGGGCAAGAGAACTCTGGCACACTGGGAGTGTGAGTGTGTGAACGTTAAGTTAAAAGTAGGCACAGAAAAAAGCATGTGTTGTGTTAGAGTGTTAGAGTTCAGGAAGTGTGAATGAGGCTTGTAGTAAGACAGTTTGAGTAGAAAAGCACGACAGCAGTACCGGTCCACTTACCATATTAACGTCCTCTGGCTCTAAGACCTGCCTCGGTAGCCAGAGATCTGACCTCTTATCCACTGGACACTGTGCCCCCACCCCCTGCAGTTGGGGCTCCATTAAAAAAAAAACCACACACAGCCCAGTCAGGCTGATCAATTCCTGTTTGTGGTCAGTGGTGTCCTCAGATTGTTTACATAAGTAAAAACAATCACAAGTCATCTTTTTTTTAATGTTAATAATAGATATACACGTATAAGCTGCAGCAGATGCTGAAGTTTGGAAGTCTCTGTTTTTGTCAGACAGAGGTGAGGACAGCTCATGTCACTGCAATATTTCTACCCCAGCTCTTAATTCAGACACTCTTTAGCAGCCACAAATGGGAGTTCACGTGCAGGTCCACCGGTCACAGTGATGGAGGTGAAAAGATGGAACAGAAAGGTAACATTAACACTTCAAGAAAAATGCAACAGACTCAAAAGTCTGAGTGCACACCACGCTGGTTGTTTTTAACAACCTCGGAGGAGCTGCACGCGGTCTGTTTCTGAGGCAGTCACGGGCTGAGGTGGTGTTGAGTGATGGAGAGTGGAGAGGTAGTGGCATTTTCAAGAAAGCACATGTTGTGACAGCAAAGCTGGATGAAAGATCACTTGGACTGCTGTAAGTACCTGTGAGGTAATGTGAGTGAGTTAATGAGCTGGACCTTAACACTCATGCTGATCTGGTAGGGTTTTTACCTACAACTTAAAGATCTATGATATAGTGGTATGATATGGAGATTTGGTGCTGTTGTAAAATGGTGTTTTGTAATGGAGACCAGGGGCTACACAACATTATTCCATGCATGTATTTGCTCTTGAATGAAGATACATGAAAACCACATGTATATTACTTGAGATATTTTATGAAAAACCTCAATCAGAACTCATTATTTGTGCTTTAAACTTACAGTGGGGCAAAAAAGTATTTAGTCAGCCACCGATTGTGCAAGTTCCCCCACTTAAAATGATGACAGAGGTCAGTAATTTGCACCAGAGGTA